AAAACGGAAACCTTATTTTGAAGTATACTATTTAGCAATTACCTTGTAATTACAACGTTCAATTTTAAAAATAAACGTTGAAGCCACGCCTTAGAAACGTCGAAAATCTGCCTAGAAACGTCATCGTACAACTGTTAAAACTAACGCGACAACTATTCGCATTTCACGGTCTACCTGAATCCGCAGTATGTGTTACTATGAAAAATATGTAGATATTATTAAAACCAGGCCATGTTGTTTTTCTAACAGTGTACCACAGAAAGTTAGGAAGTCAGTCTGTTAGGCAATCAATCAGTTAGACAGCCCATCATTCAGTCTATCAGTGAGAAAGTCAATCAGTGAGTTCCACTGAGACTTAAATATGATAAACAGAGATATAAGGTTCAATTCCTGCCGAGGGCCTGTAACAACCCTTTAACAATTAATTTTATCAAGTTAGACACCCAAAATTGTGGTGTTTACCCAAATAATAAGATAGACTGTGCAAATAATCGTGTAAAGGACAGACTTTGTTATTTGAAAGTTTTTGTTTGGTTTGTTTCAGTTTCAAGCTAAACATCTGGGATGTTGGTGGTCAGAAATCGTTACGTTCATACTGGAGAAATTATTTTGAAAGTACGGATGGATTGATTTGGGTCGTGGATAGCGCAGATATTGGCAGGCTGGAAGATTGCAAGAAGGAACTCAAGTCTTTATTAGTGGAAGAGGTCAATCATGTTTCTTGTGTTTGATGATTTTCAGGAAGGAAATTTGAAATAAAAGTGCATTAGACAACGAACTTCTTCTTACAAAACGTCACCTGAGCCTGCTCCTCACTACGACGCAAGTGCTTTGAGATGTTCTTATACTTGTGTTGTTCTCACTGTGTCCTAACTACAACGCAAGATAAAGCATAAACATAAGGAACAACATAAGCAACATCATAAGGAAAAGAACGCAACACCAAAGTTTTGATATTCTTACAGTATGCTTGTCTTTATGCTTATGTTACGTCGTAGTACATAAGAAATCAATAGAGAGGTTAAGATACCCCGGTTTCGGTGTACGGGTACGAGTAGTGTCATCTTGTTTTACTGATGTCTGCAATTCGATCATACTTTTTCTGTTTTCTTGCAATAGACAATGATATAATGCGAAAAATGTGCACCTTAATTACGAGTAAAGGTATAGACATCGACGAAAATATTGCTAACCAAAATCATACTACCCGTACACGTACACTGAAACCGGGGTATCTTAACCTCTCTATTATGTTTGATCCTTCTCGTGCTTGCTAGTGAGGAGCAGGAACTTTTCTGTTAGCTTTCAGTAGAGAGAGAGAGAGAGAGAGGTCACTAAACTACGTTCTTTTTCAACACAGCGTCTAACTGGTGCAACACTTCTTGTCTTTGCAAATAAACAAGATCTCCCTGGCGCTCTAAAAGCTGAGGAAATAAGAGAAGTACGGAATACCACTGCATTCTTTTCCCACTCTGATAAGTATTACCAAGTGATCATGACTTTCTGCTGCACACTAATTAGTCCCACTTATATACCATCATTACTTGACTGGCACATGGTAAATGACTTACGTCCTGGGTCAAAGTGTGCAGAAGAATAGTTAACCAAGGTCGCCTTGACTGCCAACTCTCATTCAATCTCTCAGCCTCGTTTCATCCGGGCTTAACACTTCACTTTGGATTTTTTTATAAATTTCAGGCATTAGAACTGGATTCAATCAAAAGTCACCACTGGCAAATCCAGTGGTGTAGCGCGGTGACTGGTGAGAATCTATTGCATGGCATTGATTGGCTGATTGATGATATAGCGTCCAGAGTATTTACCATGGATTGACGTCACTAGTTATCATACCTGATTTTTCCCTCACAATTCATCTTAATGCCGGCTTTAGACTGATCATGGGTGACGAGGAAATGTCTTTCTTTGGCCAAGTTCGTCCGATGGATCATCTGTCTCTGGTATAAATTGATACATAAGATTATTTATTTATTCACTTTACAAACTAAAGACGTCTTCTTCACCTTCATTATCTCCACAAATGAACTTCCCATCAACCTCAATGTAGAAAGACTATCAGTGCAAACTGTCCACGCGCGATCAACTTGGTATGTTTCGGAAACTCTAAAACTTCCCTATAGCTAGGCTCTAGATAGAGGAGGCTTTTTATGAAGCTAAATATTCTAAAAGGATAAAACGTATAACAAAAAATAAAATATTTGTTCTAGTATATTTTATTTGCAACATTTTGCGTGCATGCAAAGTTTGTCATCGAGATTTTTTGTTGTTTTTCTTCTTGCTTGGCGTAGCAGGGGTGGCAGATTTGGGCGACGCTTTCGCTGAGGGGATTTTCTTCTTGATGTTCTCAGCAGGTTTTCTAAACACAAAATTACTCACGTAAACATGGTATATACGGTAGGAATGCAAGAGATAGCAGAGCACAAGCACAGAAGCCCTGGGTACAAAGTTACAGTCAACCAGCAGTTTTCGCAGTGAAAGAAATGATGTGAATGATTTTACTCTCGTAACAGTCTACATACTTGTAGCTGATTTGTGATCCCCGATCTTCTGTTAATGAAATACATAACCACGACATCTGGCCTTTGTCAAACGTTAAATCCACTTCCTAGAAATGATACAGAAAATTGCAGGTAGCCAAGGCCTGACTCCTGTCGCAGCCACCATACGGGTCATGTCGGAAGAGACAGGGAGGGAACGAAAGGACTGGAAAAGTAACTTCCGATGTTCAGGAAAGAACGAACCACAACTCGACTTACACGGGTTTTCAAACACTTCAAGTATAAAGAGCAAGGTAGTCACCCATCCTAAGTAATAATCTCCCTCGAGCTACCTGCAGTAACAGGCTTAACTCAGCAGCACTGGGGTCGCCCGTACCTACAACAAGCTTTGTGAATGCTTAATTGTGACAATAAAGACAAACCATAGAAATAATTTTTCTAAAGAACGAGTCATAAACACTGATTATTTTTGTTTCAGAAGCCAATCAGAAAACATTAGGTATTAGGTAGACATTTACTATACGGGACAACACGCTAACCGTATGTCAAAGAGTTTAAACTACTGACCTTCAAACCCTGGATGAACTGAGCTTTAGAAATGAGCCCGCAACCATCTGGGTCAAACGCCCCAAATACTTCAAACCAGTGATCATAGTTATCAGTGATAAAGCGTTTGACTAGCTGTAGGGGTGTTCGTTCTGAAGGTCTGCCTCGGCCAATAACCTTGACTGCTTTACGTTCATTTAGAGTTTTTAATAAAACAAAGAAATCATCATCCAGGTAGATGTCTTCAAGATAGAGTGTGTGTATAGCACTGTCTGATTTCGCTCTCACTGCTGAAAGAATGGAGTGAGCTCCCGCTGTTTGGATTGGATTTTGACCAATCTAATGAAATGAAATAACTTGAGAAACAAGAACTTCAACGATCAGGATTTCGTGGCACAGTGTAATGGTCATGTGTTTTCAGTGAATGTTGCATCTGTTTTTCACATCGATAATGCACCATTCCGGAAAATACGTCACCTTGGCTGTAGAGTCTCGTTTTCGTGACTGAGACGTACGTTGGCTTTAAATGTGATATACATGAAAACGAGGCTGTATAGCCAAAGTGACGTATTTTCCGGAAGGGTGTATTGGGGGGTCCTGCAGTATGCAGTTATCTGCTTATAATTTCCCCTCAGTCGTATGAGTGTGCCACCAGTTGGATAAAAAATCGCAGGTTTTCTTATCGAGACAGTATGATCCCTACAGGACCTCTAAGGAAAACAGTTTTCAGCTGATAGAGCTGTCTACTGTAAACCCTGCGTGGCTGGCAAGTGGTCAATGGGCCCGCCTTTCTCCCTTGCTCGCAAATATCGCAGGCTACCCACTGCAAAGAAAGTTTGTTTTAGAACCGCGGAGCCTGCGAAAACAACGGAACGAGATAATCGGGCGGCAGTTTTCGCAGGCTACGGTAAATGGTGCTAACCTTAAGAACCTCCAATGTGTTATTTCCTTCCAAACCTCGCGCAATGTGCGCTGCACCAACAGTTGAGATTCTGTTGTTTCTGATATTCAATTCCGTCAGGGTATTGTTCACCCTCATTGAGTCACATAAAGCACGTGCCCCGTCGTCTTCAAACCCATTCCATGAGAGATCCAACACTCTCAAAGTACAGTTGCTCTGGGGAACAATGTAAAACGAATTGTGAATGTAACAGTTTGGTGGTGCCTTTTATCTCTGTTGTTGGGGTTCGATGTCTGTAATATGTCTGGGGCCGGTTGTATAAAACTCTTAATCACTTTTTTAATCACTATTTTGTGGTTAAATAGTGATTAACTCTCAAATAGGCGCTTCTTATTGGATGACGTTTCCACTTAATTATAATTAACTTTAATCACTTTTTTATACAACCGGCCCCTGATTGTAATTTTGCCTCAGTAGACTCCGCAAGTTTCATTGAGTACTCCGGTTTTCTTCTGTAGCAACACAGAACCAGGGACGACCTCACCACTCTAAGAAAATCAGCTTAGAACGGATGGAGTTATACGAAGTTAGATAGTTAGGGTTTCCACTCCGTAGTGTGAAGATGAAATTGAAGGAGTTTTCCAGGACTTTCAAGGAAGTTTTTTAGTAAATTCAAGCGGGAGGAATCTTTGAAAATGGCACGAACTTTGCTTTTTGAAACACTGCTACTTATTCAGAATCAGTAGACTAAATAATGTTCAAGTATTATCAGCACAGCTGCAGGGAAAGAAATTCCAGGACATTCATTTTCATGGACTTTCCAGAATTTTCAAGGCCCGTGGGCACCCCACCCCCTGTTATATCGATTTTCACGAATGTTCTGCACAAGAAACACAGAAGAGTTCGTTGTGGTTGAATGTACAAACCTTAAGTCCAGCGGCAATTGCCAATGCACCACGTCGACGTATTTGGTTAAAACTCAAATCCAGCATTTCAATTGAATCATTCGCAGCTGCGGGATGAGGAGATAAAGGAGTATTATATTTATAAATACTGATGTAATAGTTTTGTTTGTGGAAACACCACGTAAATTTATTACTGCAAAGCTTTCGATCCGTAACCCTGGATCTTCATCAGTGCTAATAATATGTATAGCACTGATGAAAATCCGGGCTTACGGATCGAAAGCTTTGCAGTAATAAATTTACGTGGTGTTTCCACAAACAAAACTATTATATTTTATCACCATGCAAACATACAAAGAACTTAAATACTGATGTATTGTGACCTCGTACTCGGGACCAAATTTCACTCTGTCTTAGCGTCACGTGATTTCAGTGGCAAGCTGGGAACAATCTGGAACAATGAAAAAGGATACTTACTGATACTCGGACCCAGGACCACTCCTCCTTCTTCACAAAACTGGTTTCTACTTAAATTTAGCGTCGTCAAATGTTCATTAACCTGAAACGGGAAGAAATTACGTCGCCACAGTTTGTTTCAGTAACTGACTAAATACATAGCACGTTGATTTCAAAAACATTGTGGCAGAAAAGAAACCTTAATAGTGTCGGCTAGAACAACAGCATCTTTGTCAGCAAAAACATTGTCCGATACATTCAAATCATGAATAATTCCACTGTTATTTAACAGATCACAGATAGCGGCACAGCCAATGTGGCCAACTTTATTTGATGAAAGATCCTAAAAACAATAAAAATTATAAGAAAGAGTTATTTTATAGTCAGCGAGACTTAAAGCTTGGTTATCTTTGTTCCATTGTATGCTTACATTTTCCTACCAGTGGTAACTAGGCATGCGAGGTATCTGAAATCTGTGCTCACTGGTATTGAGGAGAGACTGGGGATTGAGAGGGATGCAACTAGCGAAGTTTCGAGCGAAGGTCCTTCATCGGAAAGTTAGATGAAGGAGCCAAGGGGCTTCTCTCGAAACGTCAAAGTTTTCCTTGTATATTTTTCAGGCAGTTGAATCCCTCGCAATCCACAGCTTTCTGATGTTCTTGTCACTATACCTACGCTGACACGGACGCTGACATTTGTAAAAAGTTTGCTAAAGACAATAAATCGTCTGGTCCGCTCAAAAACTCTTCAATTACAACAGCGTTGTGATAAACCATAAACATAACTTACGACATTTAAGCGAATCTAAGTGTTCTAATTCCATAAATACTGATAGATTTTTAAATGTTATAACTTGTAAATATTGATATCTTCTAACATGTAAAATATGTAACTTGACAGATTTTTAAAGATATAGTTATTCTTGATAATTTATGTATTAACTTGTAATTCAGCATTTGCTGCAATAAGTTTTTGAATAAACCTATTATTATTATTATTAATTCGAGTCAGCTGGTCCATTAAAACTCACCAATGAAGAAATGTAACAATTTTCTTTGACCATTTCTGCAATATATCTCGTACCATCGTCACCAATGTTGTTGTCATGGAGATCCAGTGTCACCACAGTTGTGTTACTCTATACAACCGTTTCATTCAAAAAGTATTAGTTGACGACTGATGATTTGAAAGCGATACAATTACTTGAGAAATATTACAGAACTTTTATTATAAATTATCTTCAATATCATCCTCGAAAGCGGCTGGTCCAGATGAAATACCGAATTGGGTCCTAAAAGATTATGCGCCCCTGCTGTCTTCCCCTGTTACTTCAATCTTCAACGCCTCCCTTCAACAGGCGTCTGTTCCCGCGGTATGGAAAAAAGCCGACGTCATCCCTGTACCTAAAAATAAGGTGCTGAGGGACATTACTAAAGACTTGCGTCCCATCTCGCTTACTGCCACTTTGTCAAAAACGTGTGAACGTTTTGTCGCAGACTGGCTGATGGAGTTGATTGGTGAGAAGATCGATAAACGGCAATTTGGATCTCTAAAAAACTCTTCAACAACACATGCATTATTGAGCCTTCTCCATCACTTATTAAACGAAACTGATGTGCCGAAAAATGCTGTGAGAATTTTTTTATTAGACTTCTCCAAAGCTTTTGATCATATCGATCATAACATCCTCCTCAGTAAATTATCTGATATGGACGTTCCATCATTAATAACAAACTGGATAAGAAGTTTTCTTACTCAACGAAGCCAACGGGTCAGAATGCCCCATTGTGTGTCAGAATGGCAAATCCTCAACGGTGGAGTCCCCCAGGGAACTGTTTTAGGCCCAATCCTCTTCCTAATCATGATAAACGATCTCCTCGCTGATTGGAAAGACCGATGGAAATCCGTTGACGACACCACCACTACCGAAACCATTGGCCCAGATTGTAACAGCAACCTTCAAGAACTGGTTAATTACATCAATAATTGGACTACGAGTAATAATATGAAATTAAACATTGGAAAATGCAAAGAACTGGTTATTGATTTTGCAAAAAAGAAGCATTGCTTTCCCCCTTTACCAGTCGATAAAGTTAATATTGAACGAGAGAAATCTGCCCGTATCCTTGGCCTCACAGTCCAAGATAACATGAAGTGGAATGAACATATAAATAACATAGTTAAAAAAGCTAGCAAGAGTCTCTATATGCTAAGACTGCTAAAAAGGTCCAACGCGTGTATTGACACGTTAATTACTGTATATACTACCATTATTAGGCCTGTTTTAGAGTACGCATGCCAGGTCTGGCATTACAAGATCCAACAATATTTATGTGACGATATTGAAAAAATACAAAAACGCGCGTTGAGAATAATCCTCCCATCGCAAAAGTACGACGAAGCGCTGATCACGACTAACATCACGTCACTGAGAGATCGACGAGAAAAATTATGCGAACATTTCTTTGAGAAGAATATTGACAATGAAAATCCCAAAGATCTTTTACCACAAACAGTTTTATCTGGATATGATCTAAGACCGATATGTAAATATCATAATTATGTTTGCAGAACCGAACGTTTTAAGAATTCGTTTTTACCTCAAAGTATATTAAAGATTAACAGTAAATAAGTTTTTAGAAATGTAAATAATCTTAAATATGTAATTATTATGTAATTTTAACTTATCCTCTTAATTTATGTAATACTGGTGTAATTTAACCTTTTTGGGTTACAAAGTCAGTAGTTATTAAATCAATTCAATTCAACTTTTGCCCTAACTTCTCGACGCTTGGTTGGAAACGTGGAAGTTCTGCTGAGATTTTCCAAGTAGTTGTATATCACTTTTAATCCACAGCTGTCTATAGGCACTGCCACAGACCGTTCGAGATTATATTTGCAAGTTTCACTGTAAGCAATTATGTCGCGCAACAGACGATAGTGAGATATGAGGCGAGAAAATAATGTTAATTCTTTTGGTTGTATGTAACAGTAGGCTGGTAACTGGAGGCAAATAAATAGAAATCAGGTTGTACGAAGACCGCGGATAGTGATTTTTCAAACTTTCTGAAATCGTCCATTCACTCCATTGATTGGCATAACCCAGATTAAACAAAATTAAAGTTTCGTTTTATTAATTGCGAAGTCCATATCCGTAGTTTCACAGTTTTTCAAACATTTTTACAAAAGTGGAAAAATCACTATCCGGTGGATAGCGCTATCTGGTCTTCGTACAACTGCCGCAGAGATGTAGTTTCATTCTCTTGCTGCTATAAATTGTGAGGTCGACCATTATCGAGCTAATCGCGATTGAGTGTTAAGGTTTAAGATCTTACCACCAATGCTATAGCAATTGCTTTGGCGCCTTTCGCTCCCAGTCCATGATGACGTAATATCATATCTTTATCTTCAATATGTCGGAGGAAATATGAAACTGGAGTGACACCGATACTTGCACATGCTGCAAGATAGAGTCTTCTCCCAGTTGGGTCGAAAGTCTTGGTCGGTTCTGAAATTATGAACATCTTTAGAAACATTGCTTGATACTGGTAGAAACCTCTAGAGGCCTGGTAAGGGCAATAAGCCAGCTCATTTGACCACGTGACCTTACCTTCGATTTCTAAGTCGGTCTCCCAACCACTGTCGAGAGATTCCGAGCTGTTCCGAAGTTCATCAGCAGGTTCCTCGTCGTGTTCCAAGAAACCGGTTTCTGAATCCTGTTCTTCCTGAATGACGAGATCATCTTGTGGCAATAAAACCTGTTGGGAATCCTAAATGTTGGGAAGTTATTAAATAGTTACAAAAACAAGGTTTTTCATCCTTTCCTTCTAAAGCGCGTTTGAACGGTAAAGATGTTACCGTTCCCAGAAATCAGATCCGGGGTATCTGAAGATTTCTAGTGAAAGCTTTCCGCACAACTTGTCTTTACTTTTTTGGCAGTATAAAATTTCGTACGTGTGTAGGGCAGTGCAGAAAGTATTTTGCTCAGTTTGGTTTGGGTATCAACTGCGCGACATCAAGTTCAAACACAAACCACGTCAGCTTTCGAAGTATTAAAGGTCCACACAGACCGGACGCGATTCGACAACGCGACGCGAATTTTCAGTTTTCAAAAACAAATAAAACCGTCAACGGGTAAAAATTTTACAAGATATGCAGACCAAATAGCTAAAATTGCTTAAGTGGTCCCGAATATTTGAAAAACACTGAAAAATATTAAAGTTAAATGTCACTGAAAACTGAAAATTCGCGTCGCGTTGCCAAATCGCGTCCGGTCTGTGTGGACCTTAAGCCTGGTTTACATTATCAAAATTTCTTGTCATCACAGAAGGAATTTTGCATGGGTAAATTCTAAGTTTAGAAGGATTTGTAAGAAATGTTTGAGGAAACTGAATAATTAGTGTCTAACATTAAGTCAGTTTCCTCAAACATTTCTCACAAATCCTTCAAAACTTAGAATTTATCTGCATGCAAAATTTCAACTGTGATCACAGAAACGTTGACAGATCATAAAACTCGCGCGAAAAATGCTGCCACGTAACGGAAAACATCAATTCTTCAGTTGTGTGTATTCGGTCATACGAGAAAAAAGATGTCACTTGTGAAACCTTCGTAAATTACGCCAAAATTTCCCCTGAAAATCCCTCATACAATAACACAGAAAACTCATGCAAACATCGAAGCAATCGATTTTCTTATCTCCAGACGTATTGTCAAACGCAAAGCTTCTAATTGGCTTTCGTATTTTCTTTCAACACTTGAGAAGACGTCCCAATCTCGCATTTTACTCTAGCCTAGCTCTTACAAACATGACAATAGTTTTTAGCGCAGAGAATTTTATAGTAGTACAGAAAGACTCCACATACCTTAATGTCCATGAGCTACAACGTGTTTTTGATCTAAATCCATTTTTGATATTTTGGCACTAATGAAGCTGCTGTTCCTATGACAACTCGCGCGTTAATTAGTGACGGACTGATATTAGGATAACACAAGTTGTCAAGAGGGTTTTTAAGAAATGTTTATATAATTGTTGCATTTATGATAAAACTAGTCTCAAGTTTTGTTCTTGATAGTTTTTAAAATAAAGCGCTATTTTTCGTAATTTTTCGCTCAAGTTTTAAAACAAGACTAAAAGCTATATTATCATTAATTTTTCGTCGCGTATTTTACACGTAAAACACTTTTACGAATATGCAATTTAAATTGAACAATTATGGGTCATAAAACTAACCTGGTCACCTGCAGTTAAATAATGTAATCAAACTTTCATATGCAAGATGTTTTATGTATATTATTTTAATTAAACGCGCTTATCATAATGTAATTTGTAAATACGTCTGACAAACGGATATTAAATACTCACTGTTCCTTGCAAAGTATAACCATATACGCAGCCCAGTAAATATATGTATTCACACAATAATGCGTTAATAAACGCTTAAAATGCGGAACTTTATACGGTATGACATATATACTTTATGTAGTATAACAGTCATAACATGTACATTACGGCGCTTGTACATACAGGTGCACCTTCTCGCTAAAGAACATTCTTAAAACTTATAATGATAATGCTGCAAGCTTAGTTATTGTCAGTATTGTGAATAAGTCCTCTCGCTTAGTGCTTCTAATGCATTGCCATTGGCCCTCGTTCGTTGCACGGAAAATAATTCCTTACAGTTTTCATCTCATGTTTATTTACACCATTTACATCTTTGGAGCTGAAAATATAAAATTGATGAATGTAAAAGTTGGCATAACGGTTCAAAATGTTTGTCATGTGCACAGTAGAATTAATATGTGATATGTACAAGTAACGTTACCTCCGTAAGCATCAGGCATCCGCTCTATTGAGTATCTAAATAACAAAATAAAATACTCATTATGAAATTATCACTTCTACCTGAAGTCACAATGGACAAGGAGTTGTTTGCAGTTATGTGAAACTGGGAGATCCGAGTTCAATCCTTGGTTGGATCTCTACTCAAGCTCTTAATAATCTTAATGATCCCCTATCAATTGTGCAATAGCTTGTTGGAAAATCCATTTACCAATGAGCGAGAAATTCAATAAACATCTGGGCTTGGATATCAAAAGCTTAGCCAACTACATATCATGGTTTTTTCTACAAAACAAAACAATTGATGAAAGTCGTACCTATATTTTGTGATGTACATGATGGGAACGCCAGGAACTTTTCTTATTCTTCGTTTTAAATCTCGGTCACATGTCGCCACGATGTAGCATTTGTGCTGCAATCAGAAATGTTATACAATGATTGTGATGAAACCTAGATGGCCATGCTGGTTGACAGTCTTTGTGTGCTAAGTGAGTAAGGGTCAACAACTCCCTATGACTCAATCTCTACACAGAAGACACTGGTTCTCATTCAGCAGTTTAAATTGGCACTTAGTAAACTAAACCCTTTTATAGTAGCTCTGTCAGCTTAAAGTGTTTTTCCAAGAAGTCCAGTAAGTCCATTCCTTACCAGAGGAATCTGAATAACCTGGAGAAACCCTGTGGTGTTTGAAGTACTCGCATGTGACTCAAGCAAAATTATAATCACATAACTTCACATTGCAGGAATTGAAGCCCAGATGCAAAAGTGAAAGGCAGATGAATTACTATCAATGATTTCTTCGCCATACAGTACCTGGGTGACTCTATTAACAAGACAATCATCAGCATATGTCCCTTTGTGCATACATGGTAATCTTTGAAACCTCTCATCACGAGCCATCCTGTAACAAACAGACAAAACAGACCTCAGCATGACACACTGTACTACATATTTAAGAGTCAGCCCAATGAGTCCAGCATTCTCCAGAAGTAGGGTGCATTTGGGCACAATGGGGGACAGCAGGGTGCATTTGGGCACAACAGGGACAGTAGGGTGCATTTGGGCACAATGGGAATAGTAGGGTGCATTTTGGCACAATGCAATTTAATGTGTGAAAGTACAAGACAAACCTTAATGCTACTCTGTATTTTGTTCCCATTTTTTCCAATTCTCCCATAACACAATCTGTTATACATGGTATACCTGAACACAAGACAAGCAACTAGGAAAAGCACAATTTAGAAGTGATTCTACAACCCAAAGATTCCTACTTACATTTTGCATAAAGACAGTCCATCATAGACTGAAATAAATCTAGTTTGTTTTTGATTGAGAAATTAATAAAATTTGTATCAACCAGAATATAATAAGGTGGTCCCAGCTGAGTGTTGTATTGAAAGAAGAGCGCGGACGAAACTTGGTCACTAAATGGAGAAAACATTAAATGAATAAAAGAGCAAGTTGGGTGGCATGATCAAGCAAGCATTGCACGTGTTTCATGAAGTAGACTTTGGTCATTGTATGTGTCTTTCATCTCTGTGACTCAATCTAATCTCCTTAGAGGTTAACCTATCTAATCTAACCTCGTTATCTCTTAACCATTCACAGGCTACAGAGATGCCTGCAGAGGAGGCTAGGATCAGTCCTGTAATATGCATTTGTCTGACACATATATTTTTTCAGCAGTCACATGTGAAAAGAGCGTTTGACCCAACCAAACACAAAATATTTTCTCCAGTCAAAGTTGTCAGCACTCACATATGTTTTACTTCCTCCTCATCATTTTTCTTCTTTTTCTTTTGATTTTCATTTTCTGTCTTTTTTCTGAAAAGTAATGCATTTGCATTTTTAAATGAATGGCCATAAAATATTTGATCATTCATCTGTGTGCATATACTTTGTCTTGTATCTACATAAAATGGATGGTCTGTCAAAAGGACTCATTTTCAACCACCAAACTGATATGACATCATTGTCGGAAGAAGCGTTAAATAGATTCTACCCTAACCACTAAGCCCAACCATTGACTGAACTGTAACCAAATTGAGAAAATGACGTCCTGACGGTCATGTCAGCCAGGGTGCATTCCATGT